TGCCGAGAAGGTAGGTGACATCATCGAGTTCTGGCTTGGTATTCTTGATGTTGCCAGCATGGCTAGAGGGCTTGTTGATGTGTTTGAAACACAGATTGACCCTGCCGAATACCTCAACGGTTTGGAAAAAGCTTTGAAAGCATTTGGGTCAACTGCAAGGACCAGTTCGACGGTACAGTAAATGACAAGAGGCACGGATCATTCGATTGCACACTTCAACCTGCTGAGGCCGAAGCAGTGCTGAGGATCATCAACACCATCCCAGACTATGACAGTTTGACAGAGTTCAGCTGCATGACCGAATGGGAAACAAAGCGTGTGATGGCGCAATTCCGCAAGAAGTACAACATTCCAGAGGAGGATGTCCACATGGGTGACGGCGCAGAAGCCGAATCAGGTCAAGGGTTACCAACCCAGCCTGAGGAGGAACAAGCGGATGAACCCCAAGCTGACGACGCTGACGCCGCGCGTGAATCAGAGCGGTCGGGCAAGCAGCACCTCTTACAGTTTCTGAGGAAGTCGGTGTTTGCATTTATTGCGGTAGTGCTCAACACGGCCATGATGAGTGTGAAGACCCTAAGAAGGCAAACATCAAGAGCGTATTGAACGCAATCCGTGCATCGCTTGAGAGCGAAGGGTCAGGATTAGATGTCGAAATGGAATCAGAGGGAGAAAGAAAGAAAGAAGGATCGGGCGAAACCAATCAATCAGATGAACCTGAAGAACCTGACAAGGCCCGAACTGATGTATATCACTGGTATATGATGACAGCCGTCTGATGTCTGAGGTCGGAGACTTGGATGAGGCAGGAAAGTTTTGCATCGAAGGTCGAGACATTGTCAATGAAGGACCTCGATCGCGAGAAGATCTCAATGATATCATCCGAGATGCCATAGTACGTGGAGGAGGAGATGTTTGGAAAGTTCCGGACTTCATGGCGTCCTATACGGACACCAACATCCGCAAAAGAATGTACAATAGGATTGAGGCACCAATGGATGGATTCTTGAAAATCGTCCCCACAACTGGATGTTTTTTCCACAACTATGAGTTCTACTCGGGAGTTGAGGTCGGAATGAACTACAAGTTCGAGAACAACAACAAATTGGAACCATACGAGGAGGAAGTCAGTACTGCATTGAACAAAATCCTGAGGCATCAAGTCGGGAAAGCTTCGGAGAGGCAAAGTCTCGTTTGTGACGATGCTGGATGGGTTCCAATTGACGACGTCCTCAAGTGTGAAGGCATCTGGAGGAATGACAGGACGAGAAGGCCGCACACCTTCCTTGCGCCAAGGGGAAGAGGCGATGACAAGTACCTGTGGAACAAAGAGGAGGCAACTTACCGTCTGAAGACGCTCTTCCGCATCATGTTCCACTGTGCAAGGTACGGTCGCCGAGTGCGAGAACAGATCCTAGCCTGTGGCATCTACCCCGACATCGATCGAAGCAGTGGAACATGTACGTCGAACAACGTATCGGTTGAGACGGAAATCCCTGAAGAGGGCCTGCTTCTTTACCCAGTTGCGGTCAGATCGCCGACAGGACACAAGGATGGCGGAATCAATGATGTCGTGTTGAGGCCAACATTGCTGTCCCATTCCATTGCTCCTACCACTGTGATTTCACTGCCTGCTTGCTTCCACATCACGACAAGTGATCATCTGAAGAGCATTTGGAAGGTTGATCCCTGGAGGTTTGAGTGGAAATTCAAGGATTTTCACATTCTTCAATCCATATGTTCCTTGGGACCCGCGAGCATGGAGCATTACCAAGAGTGTGGATACTCGCAAAGGAGCATACATCTGCCTCTACATCCCCACCGAAACCTTGATGATGGAGTTTGGAGGTCGACTGACCGACCCAGGACAGGTGGTGACGGACAAGATCATTCCTTTCTCCAAGATTCGCGGCGGTTGGATCCAATATGCCAACAGGCAATGGCAACGGTTAATCGTACCATCATGCGATGACCAAGTTGTTCGTTCTGGGCATATCAGATCCACAACCATTGCAACCAAGGAATCAGTACTGCGAATTGCAATGCAGTGCTTGAGCGCCGTGAAACAGCCCATCGATGAACCGACCATGGAGGTGGAAGTCATCGTCGATCGCTTTGAGAAGAACTTGATTGCGGATGGAGGGCGTGAACAGTTTGAGGCGTGCATCAAGCTTGTGGATTACATCCTCGAAAGAAAGGCAGTTACAGAAGCTGGATGCCGGTATTGTCCTCACTGTCTGACAGAGACGCCGACAAAATTTGCAGTGTGCTTAGTGCTGGACAGCGCTGGAGAGCCACGGCATCAAGCCTTATCGCATCGGTCATGATCACGAAGAAGAAAACGAGGATGAGGCTACCAAAAGACGATCGACGAGGAAGTTCGCCGTCAAAAGGAATCATTGTTCAAAGAGACGGTCAACCAGGCACAAGAAAGCGCCGAGACTCAGAGCCAGTATTGTTTTGACCCAAATGAGGTTGACTATGACGAGAGCGATGAAGAGATGAAAGGCGAAGAGGAAGAGGACGTCGAAGTCGATGCAGAAGATGATGATGCTGATGCCCCAGACAAAGAGAAAGAGGCCGAAAAAAATCCGGCTTGGGCGATGAACTTGGACGTGAATAGCAAAAAGCTATACTAGTCAAAGGACTCATCAACAGTGATGTATCCGAGGCCGCAGCACAGCTCTATGACAATGCAGTCCTCGTCAAAATCCTGAGCATGTACCGGCACTACTACAAACAGAGAGTCTTGATGACGCCCGAAGAATATCGGAATGAAATGATGACCGGTAAGGTCGGGCGCCTCGACTTGGATGGCATATGCCCGTATACAGGTGAAAATGAGGACGGCACCTTGAAGCGTCCAACAGTAGAACAGCTCGATGAGGTGTTCGAGAAGAAAGCCAAGAAGATGGCCTGGTCGCAAGACCAAAAGATGCCCAAGGGCATGTTGATCCATGTGGTGTTGACGCTAGAGATATACGAGAAGATGATGGAGTATCTCGTACTAGCGGGCTTCAAGCCCGATCAGCTGCAGTTCCTTGTCCCGATGAGCAAGATGGACGGGACCAGTGAGGAGAAAAATGAAATGAGGGTGAAAATCAGCGACTTCGTCAGCAGATTGCTGAAGGGCGCTTACCGAAATGCGGAGAACTACACCTACTTCAGGACCGGGAATCATGGGTTTCCAAACTGCATTGAGATCCCCGCGTTTTCTGTTTGTTTGGCATTCAGGGAGAATGAGAGGGCGATGGAGCTGTTGATTGCAGCTCAGCAATGCAACGCCGTTCTCCCACCAGTTTTCATTGGAAGAATTGCCTATGCGATCCAATTTGCAGAACAGGAAGCACAGAGAGGACACCTGACATGGACGGACAAAATGACCCCAAACTTGGATCCGGAGGTCACCCAAGCGGTTTTTAGAACCATTGGTGACAGTGAGAGTGCCCGCCGAGCCACAGCAGAGGCCAAAGCTGCAGCACCTTCGGGATTACCCAGGAGCGAGCCCAAATCATTTGCACCAAAGCCGCCTCCTACCAAAGCAGCAGCACCCAGCCGAGCGGCTCCATCCTCACCCGCATCATCCTCAACAACGGAACCCAAGGCAAAGCCACCATACAAGGCCATGCCGACCACACCTGCGCCCAAACCATCAAGGCCTTCACCTTCCGAGAAGCCACAGCAAGCACCTCAATACAAGAAGAAGAGAACTGACTAGATGATGACTATATCTATGGTGCTATGTGGTGAACATCGCCTTCATTGGTGGATGATTTCCAGAATGACTTTTGAGAGGATTCTGAGCGTGGCTTTAGATTAATTCGCTCAGCTTCTCAATGAATCAGTACTTTCCCAATCTAATCAAAATTTTGTACAGACGAATTCACCTGTAGCTAGCGTAGTTTCTACACAATTCAGGCTCAACGGAACGTCCAGCGGACGACCATTGATGTCACCATTCAACGTATATAGTGCGTTATTCTCAGCGTGGGTTAGTCCTGTACAGCATGATATTACTACCCACGAAGAGCCACGAAGATGGCTCCGGGGATCCTGATCCCAAATGCCCATCGGGCATTGGGTGATGGTGAACCGTATTTTAAAGTTTCTTTTGCGGTAGTGATAGCGTGCGAAGACATCTTAATTAAGAGTTCCCACCTCCTGTGCCCAAATTTCAATCGCAACTCGGGCATGGGGGGTGCGAATGTGGACTAGGCAGATGTACATGTGCCATGTAGTTGCATATTGACATGCATCACGCCACTGATATTGTGGCTCAAGAATGCGTAAGAAGGAACTGTCGCGCTCTTCTGCATGCCGCCAGCGTTGCTGACAACCGCCTGTTGAGTACTCTGCTTTCATCCTGAAAGGAATATACCTCGGACAAAGGTTTATTTGTTCACATATATATAATATAAACTATATATATATTATATATTATATATATATATGGATGCATGATGATCGTGTGGCCTGTGCGGGATCGATCGCAACAGTTCCTTTTTGCTTTCTCTCGCTGGTGGTTAGTAGCCGTGTTGATCTTTTGTGGTATTGGGTTGGTCCTTGGCAGTGATGACGAGAGATCCAATCCCACCTTCTTCAAGTCTGGCTTTGATGTCACTGTTGGACGGTTCAGCGCACCTCGCCTGAGTGATCTCCATCACCCCCATCCGGGAGTTCTAAGTTTGTGCCCCGTCAGCCGCGTTTAACCCTTGATGGTTCTAATTGCGTGTGCTTCATTTGCTTATCTTCTCCACTTGGAACCTTGTGGATCTTCCAAGTCGCATCAACAGACTTTTTGGGACATTACGGGTAACATTCTTTGACCCAATTCTTTGTATGCTACGGTTTTTTCCCGTAATGATCACAAGAATAGAGTTTATGCCTATCTAGGTTCCCGGAACAATTTATTTGTGGAAAATTCCCATTGGTTCACAAGCAGTGCAATCAGCTGGCACTCAACAAAAACACGGATACAGTTGCTCCTTCCCACGTGTCAGGCGCTGGCGCGCACCAAGGGTCATGAATCCTTGGCGCGTCTAGCAGAGATTCTGCCGGACCCTCAAGACATAGATTGAGGAGCCGGTTCTGCACCTGGGTCCGGCGGAAGATTAACGCAGCAAAACCAAGGCTGACCTGCATTAGAAGCAGATGCATGCCGGAGGAGTTTTTGACTAGGCCATTGGAATCACATCCACATGTCTTGGAAGGATGGCCCTACGGCCAGCGCGGTGTAGACTAGATGCATGGCACCATTGAAAGATCGGACGCCATCACCTTGCCAGACTTGAATCAGTGAGGCGAAACTTGAATCAGACAGCTCAGACTAAGGTTTTGTTGTCTGTCTGATTGATGATTATTATATTGATGTCTAATTGAAAAAAATATTCCATTTGTGATGTCAATGATTGAGGATCTATACATGTAAGGTACCGCAAGGGTTTGCTTCCACGGAGTCCGCACTTGCCTTGACAACCGGAAAAATGTTTTTTAAAGTCTTGGAGGTCTTAGCCCCATTCCATTTCCTCCTGCAGGTTGCCTGAAGGCTTTTTGACCGCTGTTCTTCGCGATGGCCGGGCGAAGGCTGCACAAGTTTGGGGCAGGGTATGGCGTGACAGAGAACAAATGGAAATTCCGTCTCCATGTCCATTGTGTTCGTATCAGCAGGACATGCAAGAGCTTGGAAAGGTTGAGGCCTCAGTTGTGATCACAATCGTGATTGAAATCTTTGCTGATTTGCATATTGGAAACATCCTGGCGCTGCCGTTAGCTGTAGACATGTAGACAGACTGAGGCAAGAGATCGGCTGCATCACTTCCGGCGTTTCATTGAGGCCGGCCTTGCGGGGGAATGGTCACTTGCATTGCCAACAGATGCGCCAGCCTGTTGTGAAAAAGGTTTCCGGCCCTGACGTTTTGTTCTTCCCTTGCCATTCCCCCAGGAAAAGAAGCTTTTGGAGTCTCCTCCTCACATCGTGGTGGGGTTGTTGATGGAGCAGATGGAGCAGGCAGAGTGCTCCGTGTTCTCCCGCCTGGCATCCTCCCAAGATTTGCGGGGCCCCACTTCGTACCCAAAACGTCAAAGTCGGGCGTCTTGGTAAAGAAAAGACTTTGAAAGCTGAATGTCCACAACCGGGAAGTCTGGATGGAATGGATTTTGCGAGTGTCCTTTTTGAAGGGGTTTTGGTTCCAGAAAGGGGGGAACATTTGTAACTTGGAAGTTTTACTTTGCGCGCGGTGAATATATAAAAACACCTGTTTTCCAAGCAGTTCCTTTCACAACCTGACGGCCTTTCTTGAAGGGCTTTATCATTTTTCCAGGTCACTTGTGACAACCTGTCAGCCTGATCCGTTCTGACGAGACTCTTCCACCTACCCTCGAGAACCAACCGGTAACAAACCAAGAATATGATAGGGTTCCCACATCCAGTTGTGATTCGGGCATTATGATCCTGGTCCGATTGCGCACAATGCACGTTGAATGATGGAGCCCACCTTGGGCAATGACGCAGGTGGGGCTCGGCCACGAACTTCTCAAGCAATCCCGCAATCGGGAACTCGTCAAGGAGCTGAGGCAGAAGGCCGCCTGGCGGGAAATGGATCTATGGTTGACATCTTCGAGTTTTGATTTTTTTGACTTCAACTCTCAGGGTGTCCTCACGAAGGAAGACGGCCAGTGGGCAGTGCTTCACCTCCTGCCACAACTGGAGGACCGTTCTCAAAGTCTCCGGATGCGACGCACAAATTAACTTGCATACCTGTAGCCAAACTCAGTTGGTTGTGCTGTTCTATTGGGCGCGAAATCGTCGTGGGCGTTTATAATTTGCCTTTTGGTGTTTGCTTCGCGAGGGGGGTTTTGCTTTCTAATGTGGCCCACGTTTGCTTCATTCTTGGTGAGGACGCCTTCGTAGATGAACATCTACACGAGCTCGCTAACAGCAGCTTTGCAGGGCTCTCATTTCTCTCATTTGTGCAGCCGATTTCCGCTTACAGTCTTCCTATGCAATTTGAACACTCGAGCGATGGCGCGACTTTCAAGGCCAAATTTCCGGTGGTGTTTCATCCTCTGCCGCTCTCCAGTGACCATCAGAATTTCTGAGGTGCTTCGTTGCAGAATGCTGCAGGTGGGCCACGCCAGTACATACGACTGAAGATTTGAAGACGGTTTACACCTTTCTGTGCTTTCCCCATGAACATGTTTTTGATGGTGCCCGCTGAAGACGTACGCGCTTGAACCCACATGTTACTGGGATGTTGATGCCGTAGCTGCCAAGAAACTTCTGTGTTACAGTCATTTAAGATAACGTTAGAATTCAAAATTGCAGGAGGTCAGTTGAGATGAGCTTAAGATGAGGTCAAGTCAGGACGAAACTAAGCCCAGGATGCGATGAGATGAGATTGGATCAGATCAGGTTATGAGATGAGATTGAGATGAGATCAGGATGAATTGAGATTGAGGTGAGATCGAGATGGGCTCTTGAAAACCTTGTTGTGACAGTGTTGTTGCGCAACATCCAGGCCCACAACTGTATTCTATCCTTGATGCCCTGCAGGTTTATGTCTTCGAAACTTCCGCCCCCGACGTGTTCTGGCATTATCGGTACGGCGCATCTTAATTCTTGTGGTGGTCCCCGTTTTTGGTTGCATAGACCCACAGGGCATCCACCCAGCTCCGCTGTTGTGCTTTGCGCAACCAAGGCCCAACAGCGGCAGTCAGAGACCGCGATGATGAGGGCGCAACAGGAGCCACCGGAATAGGATTTACAGGCTCTAAGTGTCAATCCCACCCAACTGTGGAGATTTCAAGAATTCTACTACTTACAAGGGGTTGCTGTCAGATGTGGAGAGGTAGTGCCATCCATACCCCCAGATGGTACACACACTAGACAAGAATGGATCATTATATGATCCGACAGGAACTGAATCCTGTGACATGCAAGTTAGATTAGTTTAGAATATTTATATATATATATTATATATATATATATGGGACTATGGTGGCCACCAGCTGCGACTTAAATGCGCCCAGGTGCACCACCACAGTCCCGCTGGTACGTTTACACAGGTCCCGGGGGGGTGTCTTCGTTGATCACCGACCCCCCCGGGACCCCGGTGATCCCCAGCCGTATATATAATATAATATATTAAGAAGAAGTTTTACGTCTATTCAGACGGTACACACACACACACACCCTGCCTCCGGCAGGGTGGTGCGCGTAAAAAATGAGATGAAAATGAGGATGAACGGGGGATGAACAATGAGATGAGAATGAAGATGAGATGAAAATTACTTAACCAGGACGCGAAGAGGGGAACGCAAAAGAAGAAGGAAGGAGCAAACACACACCAACACACCTGGCCCGGAGCGGGCAAACCCTGAAAAGGCAAGGAAAAAGAAAAAGAGCGGAGGGTCGACGGACACGGGCCAAGACCAGCGGAGGGGGGGGAAGGACGGAAGCGCCTGAACCAACCTGACACAGCGAGAACCTACAAAAACCTCAGCACGCGGCGGAACCAACCTACCTGGGGAGGGAGGAGAGAATGAGATAGGGGACCAATGGGGAACTAGTTGGTGAAAAACATAACAAAAACCAGGACTCAGTTCCTAAACCTAAAGGTCGTGCAATTGTGCCACAACCGGCCCGTGTTCAAGTCGTGCCGCAATGGCATAAACAGCTATACGAGTTCCAACGAATTAGATGCACAAAATGTATTACCTCACCAGACAACCAAAAGAAAAGAGACCACACCTGCAAGTCATGTGCCTGCCTTGTTCATTGTGATGCAAAAGTTGCTGCAAAAACGGAGGTTTCTGAAGTTTGGCACAACAGCACTCTGCAGAGATGCATTCCACTGGGTTCACAAGGACGGCAGGAGCGGCAGGACATCTCAGAAAAGGTGCAGAACGGTAAGGCCAGCTGTTGCCCTTTACTTAAACGAAATACTAAATTAAAATGTGTAAATTCGGGTTTCATGTCAGTCAACATTGACCCCACAACGGAGGTTGCCTCACGTGGCCCTATGGCACCATGTCGGAGCCACCATAGGAATCACACTAGACAAGAATGGACCATTATATGATCCGACAGGAACTGAATCCTGTGACATGCAAGTTAGATTAGTTTAGAATATTTATATATATATATGGGACTATGGTGGCCACCAGCTGCGACTTAAATGCGCCCAGGTGCACCACCACAGTCCCGCTGGTACGTTTACACAGGTCCCGGGGGGTGTCTTCGTTGATCACCGACCCCCCCGGGACCCCGGTGATCCCCAGCCGTATATATAATATAATATATTAAGAAGAAGTTTTACGTCTATTCAGACGGTACACACACACACACTTGCGAAGTCATGAAAGACGGTCTCTTTTCATGAATGCAAAGTCTGATTACCTCATGGTAGATTGAAGGCATCACTCGGCCATACCGAGTTAAAAAGGCCAAGCTTATCCGTTGACATTTGAATGTCAGGTTGTTTAAAAGAGAAACCAATACGGCTCAATCAAACGTGATCATGAAATGACTGAATGACGGCATGCAGGTTCTTGGGTTAGCCTGATCCCATAAAGTACTAACAGATACGATTATGACCACCAGCTATGACCCCAACATATTGGGTATGTCATCCCGGTGCATCATGCAGGTACGTTTTCACAACCTAAGGTGAGTGTCTTCATTGGCACAAGACTCACCAAAGGTCCTTGTGCCCCCTGCTATGAATTAAAATGCAACGGTATCCAAAATTTTATGGTGGAAAGCAGTTGAAAACTAGTTGGTTGGAATCAGTCGCAAGAAAGTGAGGAACTCTTTGGTACAGAGCTTGACACACACAAAAAGGCACGAAGCCGGGCTGGTATTTCTTTAAAGGCGAGAATGGAAGACATCATCAATAGATTGGTGAGAAACCGCAGAGGAAAATTTGCAACCTCATCAGTGTGTTAGTAAATATTTTGCCGCAGCCAAAAGGTTAGGTATGCTTGAACTGCCTTCTGTACAGGACGCGTTGGCAGTCTGGTTTGGAGAACCCTTTCTGTACATACAGCTGAATGAGTTGGTTGAGATCATCACGGACAAATTGTTTGGGAAACGTGTATCTGCGAATTAAGGTTGCACGGGACTTTAGTCCGGACAAGCGGAGACGCATGCTGCCAGCAGAATGGAGATCACGAATTTTCCATAGTGGAGGTACTTAGTACCTTACGGTTCGTTGCACGACATCGATGGTGAACCCAAGGAGTGTACCATCTTCGACGGTTTCCAACCCCACCGGCGCTTGATAAAAGAAACAATCGGAAAGCACTCGCATGGGCAATGCGGAGCGAAATCGATGGTCAAACAAAATGAATCTGTTGTCCACATATCGTGTGAACAGAAGCTGGAGTTGGCTGGATTGAACAAAAGTTAAATACGCATTTCTCCAGCTGCGCTCTATGAGCGTCACAGCCAAATTACTGAGAGAGGGAGAGATGTGTGATCCAATCCCTGCTCCACGATGCTGTACCCAAATTTGGTTGACAGCTTTAAACACGTGGGTACTTAAAGAAGCCTGGACAATTGTCAAAATATCTTGAACTTGAACGGTCTTGATATTCGATGATGTCTTCTTGCACTGTCCCACAAATGAAGTGTGGACAACTGGCCCTTTCAGAGCCATGTTGACCGAAATTTGTGTTTCACCATGTTGATTGACCCATTCCGTGGTCAATTGTTGAATCGCATCAAGTAAACGTGATTGAGGGACGCTGTTGAAAAATCCAATAAGATCATCGTTGATGGCAGCAAATTGAATATCGTCATCTGTACGAAAGAACCGTTGATGGATATGTTTCCAAATTGCAGGAACTGAAAGTTGACCGGCTTCTTGCGGCCAAAGCATCACACACATCGTATCAAGAGTTCTGGCGGTGGCCTGCATGAGTTTACCATAGCGTGAACCAAAGTACGAAATCAATGTACGTCCTTTGTTGAACATCTTCTTTCGTTTCAGATGTACAAAGCCGTGAGGCAGTGTCGAGGATGTGTTAATCCCCCATCTGTATCGGTTCTGCAAGGACGGTGTCAAAGCAGTAGCAATGAGCTTTTGAGCATCTTCTTCATTTCCAGGAAAACGGGAAAACAATTCAGGATCATCCCATGTTCTGCAAGCAGACTCAAAATAGAAGGAAGGACAAAACAGGGTGATGCGATGAATTTCATGATCAGCATGATGAATCACCACATTGGGTGGTAACCATTGAAGGAGGTGCTTGATGTTGTGGAAGGAAAATCTGGGATTAGTCTGCAACTCCTTGGTGTGAGCGGTCCATTGTCGAAGAAGTTCGGCGTGAAGATCACGATGAGAAAACGGAGGGCAACCATGATATTTAGTCCAGTACTGCAATTGTTCATGCCAAATGTTCTGAAATTGTGCGAAGCTGGGGAAAAAAAACGTAGAGGAGGCGTTGGCAGTCTCAAAGATGCGCAACTTGGAGGGCAAGTTCAACTCATGGATACCAACTGCAACATGTTGATGGACACCAAAACAATGAATTGAAGGATCAAACTGTTTGATTTTTGCAATCAAATGAGAGCACGAACATGTCAACTGGGTCGGGTCCTGTACAGGGTGCTTGTGCTCATAGTGCTTGTAATTGTGTAGAAAACCTGAGAGTGTCTGTGCTGCAGCTTCCCTCAGTTTTGAGGTTGGAAGATGCAACGGAATTGCAATTTCCTTGTACTGTAGGACATGATTACGTAAAAATCTTGAAACTTGTGCTGAAAAATCAGAGTGTGCCAAAAATGGCATAGTCGCTGGACGATTCAGTTTTGGCATCGTCATATTTCTGAACTTCATGGCTGATGCAAGAAGTTTCCTGGCTCGACCGCACGCTGGCTGTTCTAAATGATTGCAAAGTCGGTACAACACATATATTTCCCAATCATCAAATTTCCCAGACCTGAGGGTTGTCGCTGTGTCAAAGGAGAGGCGGCCAGGACTTGTGAGCTCAAAAAGAATGTTCCAAGCTTGAGCTTGTTTGCAGTGAATGGAGGGAGGAACACCTTTGGTGATGAGTCTTCTGCGTAGTCTTTGAAACAATCTGTTTCCCTGTGGAATAGATGGAAAAGTCTGAGAATGTTTCTTGTACTGAACCAACCATCCTGATGCTTTCAGCGTCAAGATTTTGGTGATAAATGGATGGTTCAACGGTGGTTGCCATCTTGAAATCAGTAAATGTTCAAAAATCCAGGCTTCTTGATATGTAGAAAAAGAGGCAATTGGAATTGCAGTAAAATTGGAAAATCCGAACGTCGAGACCAGTACTTAACAGCAAGTTCAACATGAACAGGAGTACCATCTTTGGCCAGTCTGTACTTGGCCATTCTATTGAATTCCCGCTTGGCCATTCCAATGGATGTGGGGCCGATATAAAATCTGCCAGCTTGTTTGTACGAAAGTGAAGTGGAGTTGGGAAGGTTAAACTGCATTTTAAGATAGGTGACAGCTGTACATTGAAAGAATACAAAAGTGTAACTCTCTAGATTAATACCAAGGTTCTGCAGTCTTCGCTGCCAAACCGCGGTATGATACGTGCGTGATCCAAAATGGAAAAGACAAATGAGATGAAGCAAACCAAGGGCCCAAATTGCACAAGACTTGTTGACAGCAGGGACAGAGTGCACGATCTCAATAAATACGGATCTCAAAACTGTGATGTCATCCAGAACGGCTTTCGGCCGATGTTTGGAAACATCCATAGCTAGTCAAGCTGTAAGAGCTGCTCCAACAGCAACTGCCTGTTGGAGACTTGTGATGCTGAGCTTGAGGACAGCACTTAAATTAAGGCCATATTGAGTGCTGGCCTGTTGCAACTGTTCCTTGGTGCATTTAGCAGCCTTTGTGATATCCGTGATTTTCTTGGACATCTGCTGGGTTTCCAGGTTGAAATTCTGGGTCCACTTCTTTACATTGGCTGCAGTGGTTCCGGAAAGCTGATTCTCTCTGAGATTTGGGGCCTTTGGCTCCAAAATCTCCTGAATTGTGATTTCTGTCGGAGGGTGCGTGGCAGAGGTCTCATCTTTTGGCGACGCAGCTGCCTTGTGGAACATAGGTGCCAGCTTTCTTTGCTTTGGCAGCGATTTCGGAGAAGCCCCTAATGCCTCGCTAGGTCTCTTCCTGTGAGAAGTAGAAACAACAGCAGGAGAAACAGGAACAACAGAACCAGCAGAACCAGGACCATCAAGATCATCAGTTGGCAATTTGGGATCAGGGGCAAAAGTGCCGGTGGTACGCCGTGATCTCTAGGGTGTATCCGGAATGCCTGCTTGTGCAAGCTTGGACTTGGCAGCTTGAAGCTTCGCTTCGGTCTCCTGGAGCCTTCGCATGGCTTCGGTATCCTGTTTTACAGGACACTGAGCCTTGAGTTTATCGGCTATGAACTGAACTAAAGGTGCCATAAACTCAATCAGTTTGTCCGTGCGATTGGGAATGCCCTGCTGGGGGGCCAACTGGCGATGGAGGCTTTCAGCCGTAGCATCGATATCAATTCCTTGATCACGGAATGTCTTCAAATTTTGGGAACCAAACACAGATTCAGCAACAGATTTCGCACAAATAATTCCAACAAATCTACCCTCACTGAGCGCTCGAAGCGCTGCTTCATCAGGTCCATGTCGAGTAAGATGACTGAGCGGGACGGAAAGTGGATCTTGGCCAGCAAGATTCCTCTTGCGGCTCCATGCAGTCGGTTGAATTGATCTGTACAAACGGTAACCATATTGAACTTGATCATCCCAACATTGACTCGTGCTGCGCCAATTTGATGGTAAACTCACGGGCGGACTCGAAGACGGAGGCGGAGGTGGAGGAGACTGCTGCTGCTGCCATTGATTGTCCCAAGAGTTCCATTGGGACCTGTTCCAGTACGACATGGCTAACAACGAAGAAGTTAACACGTCAACAGGAAGCCTAAGAACCCAAAACTGCAGCGATAACTGAAATAACAAAAAGAATTGAAAAACCTGCAATTGGATGCGGCACGTTGATTCAATGCAGCATTCTGATGTATCGTCTTCTTGGACAAAATGGATCACAATTCCGATTGAGTTAAAATATGTACGTCTAAATCACAAATCGGAATGCATGGGTTGTCCATGCGGTTTTTTGGACATCTCAGCAAATGTCGATCGCACATGCAACGGAAATGAATTAAGCATACCGGTAACAAGTCTGATGGAGAAACGGGCAGTTCATATTGAAGCAAAATTCCAATCAGACAAAAATAGAAAATGGTAAAAACAGCAAGGTTCAAAACGGAGTAGGGAATTAGTCTAGTGGGCTTTCAGCTGCCACTCTGAATGCAAAACCTAAGAGTTTGTGGGAGTTTTCATTAGTGACCCACATACGTCCTCTTTGATGGTGGACGCATCCGCCATTCATGGTTTTCTGTACGCATTCCCATTCTCCCCCTTGCTTTACGGCCTCAGCCGTTCCTCATCCTCCCGCTACTGCCAGAATGTTACTTGTATTCTTTGCAGCGTACCATGCTGCATGTGTGATTCTGGCCATTTCTTTGTCATCCCAAGCTCTGTCGCTGGTTCTTTTAGATCCAAGACTGAAAAATGAGCAAGATTGGTTGTTGTGTAAACGGCTAGGTCCGATCTTTTGATCAGAAAAAATGCCTTTGATGCCTCCAATACTGCTAGCATGAACCAAATTCACATGTTGTACTTCCTGGAGGTTCATCGCAGGTGCAGCTCGTACTGGGTCTGGTATTTCTCTTTGAGAGAAATGTCCTTTGATAAGGTAATAATGACTCTTGCCCAAATCAGTAGGATGATGTTCATGATCTTGAGGGTCATAAACAAGCAACTTCATTGTGGACAAATGATCAGGAGTATACCTGGTGGAGTCCAGAATTTGTGCAACGAATTTCACCATACTGTCCATCATCGGGTAGTCATCATCTTGATGATTTTTTAACCAAGATCGAATATTTGCCTGGTTCGGAGTGACTGGCTGACTGGTTGGTGTCATTTCGTGACGTCCTGAGCGATCTAATAGAGGGAAGGCTGAAAACGGTCTCAAGGGAGGAGGAGCAGGAACTCTGGGAGGAGGAACATGCGCTCTGGGAGGAATGTTTCCAACATACGGGTCCCAAAGACCAGTATGAATGTCCCATTGACCTGGTGGAGGACGGAGAGCTTGAGAGAAAGAAGAACGAGCCGTTCTAACTGACCTACCTCTTTCAGATCTCGAAGTGGACCTCGGAGAATGGTGATCACGATGATGGTGACGGTGATGGGATGCTCGATGACGACGTCTTGTTCTGGATCTGGAGCAACTTGATGTTGTGCGTCTTTCCTGTTTGTCATCATCTGTTCCAACCGGCACCGCAGGTTGGACTGCTGACGGTCGACGAGGTACGGAGATCGTTCCTGGAATTGCGGCTGGGGCTGCTACCGGAGTTGCTGGAGGAGCATGTGGTGTCAATGCCAGTCTTACTGCTGGCTTCGCCGGTGCCTTCGGTGGCCGAGGTGGAGTCGGGTCCACGTTGCCGGCCACAAAGTAAACATTATACACCGGAGTCGACATGGCTCAGAAATCTAGAGAAAGGAAAATGGAAAATGTGTTGTCTAATATGACAACTTGTTAACTGTACAAGGATTGATCAGTTAGACAACTAACAAATGATAACGTATTGTTGCTTGCTCAACTGTACACCAAAAGGCATTCATGTGTCCAAACGCAATTCATCCATTTGGAATTCAATGCTGAGGCTTCGAATGTGGAATTCAGAAACTTCATCTTCTTGGTGACTATCAGTCGCCAAAATTGTCAAAAGTCAAATTCAAGTTCAAACTCAAGCTATTTTTGCCGGATAGCATACCGGGATCTATTCTCTCAAATGCACGCTTTGTGTCAGAGACACACGTTCAATCATTGCAATGAGCCACTGTGGCTGAATTCAAGAGTCAAATTCACTTGTGGATTCTCGCACTCCCAGGGGAGATACGACGCCTGGAATTCCAGGATCACGACCGGACTTTGACAGATCCCACGGCCGAAATACACACTTGCGAAGTCATGAAAGACGGTCTCTTTTCATGAATGCAAAGTCTGATTACCTCATGGTAGATTGAAGGCATCACTCGGCCATACCGAGTTAAAAAGGCCAAGCTTATCCGTTGACATTTGAATGTCAGGTTGTTTAAAAGAGAAACCAATACGGCTCAATCAAACGTGATCATGAAATGACTGAATGACGGCATGCAGGTTCTTGGGTTAGCCTGATCCCATAAAGTACTAACAGATACGATTATGACCACCAGCTATGACCCCAACATACTGGGTATGTCATCCAGGTGCTTCATGCAGGTACGTTTTCACAACCTAAGGTGAGTGTCTTCATTGGCACAAGACTCACCAAAGGTCCTTGTGCCCCCTGCTATGAATTAAAATGCAACGGTATCCAAAATTTTATGGTGGAAAGCAGTTGAAAACTAGTTGGTTGGAATCAGTCGCAAGAAAGTGAGGAACTCTTTGGTACAGAGCTTGACACACACACACACACCCACACCAATGTGGGGAAAACACAACCATTTTTGGGTCTTGTGTTGAATGAGTTGGCCATGGTTGGCCATTGGCCATTCTGTGCCCGGCAGAGACAGATCTGCTCGGACCGCTCGGAAAACAAAAGGAAGCAACGGCAAAGGCGGTTTCTTCCGGCGCCTTTGCCTTCGACAAGGGGCCCCAAATCAAACGGCGGAAATTCCGGAAATCGTCATTTTTTCGAGCATCTACTTGGTTAGGTTGGCTGTCCAGCTGGAACCTGGCCGCACGGAGGAGCGGCAGCGATATGAGATGCAGATTGCTTGCAAGGACTTTTTTCTCCGTGCGCGCCGGGATTTGCCGTGGCCAGCTCAGACATTGCTAAGTCGTTGCAGTTCGTTTGTCTCTGGCAGGAGCTTCCGTGGTTGTGGCGAATTATGACTTGCGTGGCACGTTGCCAAGAACTGGTGTGGCATGGTTTTGCATTGGGAAAGTGAAGGCCCTCCCAACCAAGGTCGTTATAATTATTGCTGCCATGTGCATTGCCATTGCCCTGGTTGTGAAGGTGCTTGGGCCGGAGGATGTTCGGGTTGCATTGCAATGGTTTCATTCTCTTGTAAAAAGTATGCTACAATTACTGAGGCCAGCCAACGCAAATGACAGCTTCACCTGCGCACATGTTGCCCCACCTCGCCCCACCTCGCACATGTTGCTCCATCCCGTACATTGCACACTCAAATTGCAAGGGCTATTGCAATAGCATTGGCTGTGGCTGAAATCTGCTGAAACCTTCTCCACGTGTCCGGGGTGGCACGCCAGAGCACAGAGGGTTCCACACCGCCAAAAGCATTGATACTGGGATGATAATAAGGGATAATAAGGGGATATGCTATCCATTATCTCTAGGGCCCAATGACGTTTTTACAGTTGTTTAATCCATATACATGAGATTGAGATATCATGAGATGAAGTTGCTATTTTGTCAATGAGGGCTAGACTTCAGATATGTTTTCAAAGTGAGGAAAGCAAAAACCAACTAAACAATATGCCAACCGCAAAAAACAAGAAGACCAATTCAACGGACATCTGAAGAAAAGAAGAAAAGCAATGACCAAAACAAAGATACACATACTCATGCGCCGGTAAATTCAGAAAAACAAAGGACACTGTGAACAACTCAACAAATATCACGAAAAACAACGGAGAAACACTTGAAGCATCCATAAAAACAATGAACACATCTAGAGTCGAGAGCGATCCTGAGGCATTATTCCAAACAGTAATGGAACCCAAACATCCAAGAACATAAAGAACACCAGTAAATCAATGAAGAGAACAATCAGACACCATGTGGAATTAAACAATATAGTTCAGCAAAGTAAAAACATGGATAATAACCATTCTAAAGCTACGTTCTTATGTCGTTTTTGCTTTCCATTTGGGTTGACAAAGTGACAATAATGTAATTTTTAAGTGATCTTACAAGGTTTTCATTGAACAACTCAAGCAACCATCAATAAAATGTTCTGGCGGCGGCTGGTTGGACATTCATTGTTTTTGATCTTTGCCAGCTCTTCTTGCAAAGTTTGAAATATGATTTATTTTTTGAAACCTCGCCGGTTCGCTTGCTAGAACAACATTTGTTTCAATTGTTTTTCACCTCTTTTGTTGTTTTTGCTTTCTATCAAGGAAAGCAACTATTGCAATATCATGTAATTTGGCACAGCTTCCTATTTTTCGGTGTGGGGAAGAAACAATCCGCATTATGATGATGGCCCCCCGCCAGAGTCAGCACATTGGTGAATAAGTTAAGATCCTTAAGTTATTGTTGTTCTTTCCTGCGTGTTTACATTTGAATTCATACTATAATTATATTATATAAGGACGCATTGCGTACAGATCTACAGTACAATGTGATGTACCGCAATTCATAAAATGGCTGAGTAGTCTGCCAAATCTGCAAAAATCTATCGGCCTTCCAGGGCGTACAGAAGTCCCCCTCCGGCCTGGCGATGATCGACAACGCCAAGGCATGGATGGTTTCCATTCTACAGCAGGTTTCAACCCTTGAAAGCTTGAAAGTTCAGAAACATAAACTGAAGAATCTTAAGATATACTTCTATCAATTCCACGATTATGAAAATGTGATGTTGTGTTTGTATGTGTGATTCGATATCTGATCTGATATGGATGGAGTCAAGGAACTCACCAACTACGGCAACTATGGCAACTCACTGAAAGCCTTGAAACTTTTGGTGGTCGAATGTTGCAGCATTGCCAGGCTTTCAACAAGCAGAGAGGAGAAGTAACCAATCAAGTGAAGACACGGAAGCACGAGGCAGGACCACCAAGAGCACGACGTAACCATTGACGTAACTCCTGAGAATGGGACTGTTCTGGGCCTTAGATCATTTAGAGTGTCATACGAGTCATACTGAGCATGAAAAACATTGAAAGAGCTTACCTCTGATTCGAATGTAACGGTTCCCCACGTCTTGATGCTTCGCGGAACTGCCAGGTGCAGAAGAAGAAAAAGTCCCTTGGATCCATCCATGGACGCAACGGGGTAAACACAACTATAAATCCATGGACCCATCCTTGGATCCATCCCAACATGACGGAAAGCCAAAATCTTCCAGGATATCCAGGATGTGGCTGATATCTTGGCAGACAAGGTTTGTTATGGTGTTTCTGAACGGGGGAGCTGTTGACCGGCTCCAGTTACAACCCGCCCGTTGAGGCTGTTGATGGCCATGGTGCCCGCCCGGCCGAGGATGTCGCTGGTGAAGGAGACTTCTGGTAGTTCAGGTGGCAAGACTCTTCTGGTAGTACCAATTTTGGTGGGACACCATTGTTGGTTTGATTGAGTACACCATGTTTGATTCATTTGTGGAGCCAGGGCAGGGTTTTGTTTGGGCGGCGCCAATCTGAAGCATGAGGTGAATCAGTGGATGCCCCTGGCGCCTTGCGATTGATCCACCAGCAGATGTGGAAGGGCCACAGAACTGTTGAGCCTGGCCTAAGGATTTGCTGGGAATAGACGTGAGCCATTTGGTGAAGATTCCGTAAGGTTGTTGTACACCTGATGGATTTCCATTTGTTTCTTTGCGGGTGAGGTAACATAACATAATCATCAATTTTAATGTGTTGGATTTTCCCATGATAGTGATTTACAGTAGATTCAGTAGATCGTCCTCGGATTATCCTTTTGAGGATCTGGCTTTTCCATCGCTCAGGATTTGTTCGGACAGTTTGACACGAGCGCCCCGGCCTGGGCATAGCAGTGCCAGCATTCCTGTAGCGGAACACTTCGCAGAATGGCTTTAAAATGGTTCCAACTCCTATATATGTCGTGAAAGTGAACATTTAGGTAGCATCACGTCTGAAATTGGTTGTTCCGGAGTAGATTTGAGGTAACCCCAACAACATATGTTTGAAAAATGAAATGCACAAGTTCTTTTGAATGGCTGAGGGTAGCAGGTTTTCAGTTGACTGGGACTGAGGTGGTGATGGTTCCATCGGTAAGAGTGCCTTGGTCTGCCAAGCCAGGGCCAGTACCCGGAACCCGTGGTACTCCATGGGGAACCCAACCACGTGCAGATAAAGCATGGTACTCTATGGGTGCTCAAAATTGAAGCAGATTGGGAGTCCAAAAATTGCTGACTGAAATTGGGAGAGGGTAACGGTTCATGATTCACGATAATTCATGCATGTTGAGCCATTCCCAGCTGAGAGACGTATGGAAGCATCCTGGTAGGATCCAAATGTTCTGGACATTGGGCTCTCACATTCGCGTTCATGGCCAGTGTAGCACCTTGACTAGTCTCCATCCTTGTGTAAAAGGCGCTGAACTCTGCGTAGTAAAAGACTTCGTGTGCAGGTCCATTTCTTTTTCTGTTTTATTCAGATGATGTGGTCCATTATTCGGTTTTACGCTTCCAGGTGACATGCGTCCTTCTGATAAAGAAGGCAAGTCCAGAGTGAGCACAGTTCATGATGTGGGAATGGATAAACCACAGAAACGTTTCCATTGTAGAGTGTAGACGTTGTGATTTTTGAAGCAAGTACTGGCACTGTACGGCTGGGTGCTCATGTTTTTCGACAGCGTTTTGACTTCTTGTTTCTCCTTGATGGTCGTTGGCGCTTGCGGTGGAGGTCAAACCACTACATCTCTGACTGCTGTCATGGCTAGTTGCGGCTTTTTGTCGTCAACTTTTTGAGAACTAATTGGACTGCTTGTGCCAGGTGATTTATCGAATTGAGGGTGCATGACAAGAGTGTGACTCGGATGCCTTGAATGGTGGTCTGAAGGAAGTCATTGGGAGAAACTTTTCGGTGGTCTTCTGTTCCAAGACATGTCCTGTACCTTTTGGGCATCTTTGGACCATGACTGAAGTCCATGTGAGACCACCAGGTCTTTGTGTCTTTGAAGTGTGCTTCACGCAGCCTAGCTACACTACGAACGCACCTTGCCGATGCATTTGATGTTCCCTGCTGTTGGTTGTTGGAAGATCAAGGGGCCAATGAACAAAATTGCCACGAGCAAAACTTCAAAAGATTTGGTATAGTTACCTGCCCTAGGGCCCTAGGAGAGATTCCTTGCACCGTGTTCGTCCCCGAGGCGTTTCGGAAGGGCTTCAAAAAGCTTTGGAGAGCGGGTTGGCGCTGCGTGGCCGCTGGGTTAGATCTAGGAATCACTTCACGGGTGATGTCTCCCATGAAACTACCTAGATATACCTAGTAGATGCATGATACATTCCAAGATTGAGTCGGTGCGCGCAGTCCTTCGGAATGTACGAAGACGAGAGAGAGAAGTTCAATAGTATAGCCAGTTGATATACTATACCTTGTTCCAATCATTTGGTATAGTCAGTCCACCTCGGCTCTGAGGCCTTGAGGGGCAAGGTGATCGCAGCGCTTGCGCCAGCTACCCATTTTCAGCTGACCAACTGGAAGTTGATGCCGCAATGTGTGATATCAAAGACGGATTGGGGCAACGCATGTTGTCCGTAGTTGGTGATGATTGGCAAAAAGCCGATAGGAGGTCCAGTGCATCAAGAGTCCGGTGGCAATGATGGTAATGATACCTGGTAATGCCTTGACTTTGTGAATCAATTCTAGAGTGTCCTTGGTTCCAAACGACTTGGTGCTGCACGCAGTTTCTTTTGGCTTGGATGTCTTTCAGAACCACTGGGTCATGCTTTGGTAGAATCAGGTTTTTGTTTAGTAGTAGAAGGCGGATAGTTGTGTGGAATTTCAATCCATTCAAAACCGGTTCAACAAGTAGTGGATGTCAGCTTCCATTGTCATCTGATCCATCCGCAGAAATCCCAGAAGTTCAACCTTGGATTTAATGGGGAACCACTAGTCAGAACCCAATAATAGTTACACACCCAAACTGTCAGAGTGTTTGGGTGAATGGATGGCTAACGGGGCACACCTTCACTTCCATAGGCCGAGGTAAATCGTGGCTGAACGAAGCTAGGTACCCAATCACAAAGTCGAAGTTGAGATCCGATTGAACCTGACAGTGAGCACAAATGGGTACTATGACTGCCTACTTTTCCAATATCAACTTTAATGCCAGCAAAGAAAAGTGTAGCAGCCAGATGCAGCCAGTGCAAAATGCCATGCTGGAAAGAGCAAGATCTGAAGGACAGTGCACGCCTCCCGTGCACCAACAGTGTTCTTGGGCACGATGAGGAACTCCCACTTCGCGACCTGGGCAATTCGGACACTAGGACTAAAGTAGGAGCAAGGATTGTGGACACATGCGCTGATTTCAGAGTTTCCAATGTCGTCCAAATATTCATTATGTCAATGGTGCCAAGACTCACTGTTGCCAGGACTAAGATAATTAACACACCGATGACCGATGCATTATGTTTTAGGTATCAATCAGGACAATGTAAGTCAAATGGGTTTGGGTTTATTGGTTCAAATGTGAGTTAGATTTACACAATTGTTTTATTTATTGATCCCTTCACAATGTGTTTTTTTCTTATTTTGTCTTCATTTTGTTGACTCCTTTACTTAGCATCAAAAAATACAACATGACATGTGATACAATTCCACCATGGCTGAGGTTTGGACTGTTTTGCGGTCATTTGTGGGATACCAGCTCTTTGCCTCAAGAGTTTCCTCCGCTTCTCTAAGAAGGAGTCAGTTTCCAGGATGTCCACCAAAAATGCCTGCATCATCTCAGATGAATGAAGTTGGCCTACTTTTGGGCAGGTTAGTTAGGCGTGATTAGAATGAAGTAATTCCCTGCGCATGTGCTAACATGTTCAGCCAAATGGGCCTTGACATGTTCTACGCGTGCTACGGAGTGATCCTTCGGAGAAGCATTCACCGCCATGGCGCAAAACTCAGCAGGTGAATTCTGCCGGTGTCATATGCTTAGAGATTTAACTGATATGCATATAACCTGTCTAATGGGAGGGGGGCGCGTGATTCCCCAGATTACGCTCAAATTGAATTGGTTTCCTAGGTATTTTTGGTAAAAATATTCGGATGAAAACATATCTCATTTTTTGGAGGACAACATGATATATACAGAGCCTGAGGTGCAAGGCGATATATACATACCAAGATAGGAATTGCACAAAACCATTGCATTGCTACAAATGTGTGTTCGAAATAGATTGTAAACTAGATCTTAATATGCTTGGGGCATGGTAGCAAGGCAAGGGAGGTCGCACCATTCTCATCAGTGATGTGGTTGGCAGCAATGGTTTTCTCCAAGGCACCTTACCAGGAGACAATAGAGAATTAATGGGCACACAGGTGATTCTCCAGAAAATAAAACAAACAATATATAGATCGAGTAGATAAGACAAGAATCATAATATTATTAAGAAGCAGGCTGAGGCCTGCACGTTTCCTCAAGGCTTTCTGCATGAACACGGCAATGAATTTGCCACCAACATGCCGCAGGGAAGGGAACAGGGCGAACCCCAGGTAAGCAGATGTAAGCAGGATAGTTCTGGGGTATCAAATAGTCAACACATCGATCAACATGTATTTACATTAGTATTTATGAATTAACTTCAAGAAAATGTTGTGATTCTGATATGTTCCTCAATTGAATCCTTCAACGTGCCATTAGCCACCATCACTTCCCAGATCATGATTTTCCTTGTTTAAGTGAACCATCAACAGCTGAGCAAATCCATGGGTATCATGCAGCCAAATCCATATAATGGTCGTTAATATGGAAATAATGGTCCCATTGCAAAGTACATTTCTAAAATGGTCCTCGACGTCTAGGGTATATATGTATTTATGATGTTTTCTCATGTTCTATCCTTACCATGTTGGCCCCGCAGCCTTTTTGCCTCGCAAGTTGCGCCAGCAACTAATTCCATTTTGGCCGGGACCGCTTCCAGGTCATGGCTGCAATCCTGGTGCCTTGGCCGATGTCACCCATGGGATCCATATCTTGATCATTTGTATCACATGTACCACATTTACCTATGGTCAATTGCGATATGATGCGATATGTATATATATATATATTTGGGTAAACATGTATAGTGACCTCACGCCGTTACCTCACTGGAATCATGGTGAATGTATAGGGTTAAATATCCCCAATATAGTTTTGTTTCAGGTACGTGATGTAAAATCGGCATAGCTACCCTTATTTCTGCTGATCCTATGGGGGCCTTGTCCCCAGATTCCGATGGAAATGGGTCAATTGGTTGGATATGAAATTTGCACGTGATATGTTATAATTTGCTCAGTTGATGGTTTTTTTAAATACCACACACCTATGGCAAATTTGGGGATGTTCAACTATTTTTTCTTTACTCTCACATTATTGAAATGACTGAAGTGCATGGGTTCAATCTTTGGTTGTTTGTCCCTTGTTTGGCCCTTCCATGTGTAGTGAAAAGTATGAGAGATCCATGGAAAAAAATGATCAGGAATGATTTACCATGACTTAGGTAGAATTACAGCCGGGTCTGAACTCAAGTAACCAACAATCTAACAATTCCCACCAAGTTCGATCCCCAGATTGAAATAAATTGAAAAAACCCGTTGGTTGACTGGGGAATGCTCCAAACAGATCTAACATAATCTAACCCTGAACTGAGTACACCCAAGCTCAGCAATTTGGTGGTCGATGTTTTTCACGGTTCCGCAATTATTTAGAAACAACATTCTTTCTGCCAGACAAGTAAAGGAATGACCGTGGAAATGCTTTGAATCTACATTCATGCGCGGGGTCTCCGTGCCTTTGTGCCCACCTGGAGTACAGTATGTTGACTGGCTGACATCCGTTTGCTGGATAAATTTCAGTAGTCTGTGATATAGTGTGAAAATAGTATGGCACACCATTCCATCTAGGTTATCATCGCCCACCCTGGGCCCCATTTTGAGACAAGTACAACGGACATCTGCAGCGCCCAGGCTTTTGTGTACAAAGCCCACACCCGCTTTGGCGAGAGCATCCGGGTGGTGGGCGACTGTGACGCGCCACTTTGGCATGCATTGTCTGGCACGCCCATGAGTTTGAGTAGGCCCACACGGTGCATTTTTGGATATACACCCCCCATTTCATTGGTCATCTTCCCAGTTGTGGTTGGATCACTTTACCTTCCAAAGACAAGACTTAGACATCCAAAAAAAATTGGACCTGGTTGTCCATGTTTTTCTCACCCAGTTTTGGGCTACATGGTTCCGCCAGCAACTGCGCCAGGCTTGGCAACTGGGATCCGGCCAAGGCACCAGCCCTCACCACAGATGTCCGCCTGGCGTGTTTGGAGATATCTTGGAATGATGCAGTATGATTTAATAAGATTGGGTATGACGCTGCGACATCCCTTCAGTGACAAGATTGATGTTGTTGTTGAATGAACTCAGACATGCGTTGGTTCAAAGAATCAACTCTTCCAGAATACATCAGATTCCAATGGCTGTCAGCGGCTGTCATGTGATTTATTCCATGCCATAGATTTGTTCAATAAATATGCGCCAGCCTTCGAAATATCCCATGTGGTTTGGGAGTATTGAATGCCAAGTGGGGAGCGCCAAGCTGTGCTAAAGGGCCAAAGGTGGTGAAGGGGTGGACATTTGGAACGTGGACATCAAAAATTACGGGGGCACAGTTGGAACATGTTGGCACTATTGGGGAGCGAAGCAACAAGAAACATCGGTTTCCGAGACATTTTTGTTGCAATAATATGGAGGGCAAGCGCACAGCACAGTGTCTACACTCAATGCTACTTATAACGGGACACACGTGAGAGACAACTATGAAGTCTACATATTGGCATGTTTATGGATATTTTACATATAGTTCTGGGATGTTCTTGGCCTTGGTACTCTAATTCACCGTTTGGAAGAACAGCTGCATTCACATTTCAACAAGACCTGTATGCATTCACGCATTTGAATCCCTTGCAAGGTCTGGTAGATGCAGGTGGGTTGATCATGGTTGATCGACCAACGTTGGCGGTTTGGGTTGTTGATTCACACATGTTGAAATATATTGAACTGCCCCCCAACCAATTTGTTCAAGTGATCCAACCATTATCCATCCGTCATGAACTGTCACTGTGATCCTATCTTTGTTTAAGTTTAGCCATCATCATGGAACCAAGTTCCACCAGTCTTCTCACACCTGATGAGAACTTAGCTGGGCCCCCTTTGTCAGTAGGATTGAAAATCGGAGAAGAGTTTGAACCTGGAAATGCAATGAAATGTGTATTGTCCATAATCATTCTAGATTCATATTCCCATTTTCGGTGGTCAATCCCTGGTGTTGGTACTGGATTTTACTCTGAGGCGCCAGTAGAGCCTTGGTTGTAATTTTTGAGGACCGGCATTTGGGCCGTTGGGGAGCGGAAACATTGCAGGGATGAATAGCATTGTGTGAATTTGTGTGTGAGACATCAAGTATAAACAAATGTAACATGGGCTGTGTACAATAAAATCTACAATTGAATATAGTTATATAATAGTTATTTTATACAAAGAAGAATGTACATGACACAAACACATACATATGTACATATGAACATATGCATATGCATTTTATCGCCACTTTTGTGGACTGAACT